AGAACTTCGGGACACTGGGAGGGGACCGTCATGGGGGAATGGGCCTGGAGGGGATCCCAGACGCGGGAAGTGGTGGGGTAAGAGGGATAAGGGAAAGACTGGGGAAGGGTAAGGGGGTTGCTGGGGAGGGAGGAGGGGCCCTGGGGCAGAGCTGAAGCCTGGGCGGCAGGAGGGGTTGGGCAGAGGGAGGTGGGGAATTCACTGTGTGTCCCCCTCTCCTCCCCTCCCCCTCAGGGGTCCTGGAGCCCAGGATCCCTCATTGACATGTAAACGAGGGGCCCCTATAAAGGCTTGGCCGCCTCCCGCGGGCACGTACACGACAACATGGGCACTGAGCCCAGGACCCAGGGCAGCTCTGGGGGCCCTGCGGGCAGATTCCGAAAGGTCCGGGGTGCTGAAGAGCTCATGTGTGTGTGTGGTGGGGGTGGGGGGGTCCTGCCCGCCGGCGGAGGCAAAGGGCGAGAGGGCCGTGACGCCGCCCTCTAACAGCCTCTTGTCCACAGATCTCCAAGCCACTGATGGAGAAGAAGCGACGGGCGCGCATCAACGTGTCGCTGGAGCAGCTGCGGTCGTTGCTGGAGAAGCACTATTCGCACCAGGTGAGCCCGGGCGCGGCGGTGGGTGGTGCGATCCATCCCTCGCTCTCCCCACCGCGGGCTCCCGGCTGAGAGCCCTTCCCACCGACCGCAGATCCGGAAACGCAAGTTGGAGAAGGCAGACATCCTGGAGCTGAGCGTCAAGTACATGAAAAGCCTCCAGAGCTCGGTGCAAGGTAGAGGGGCCCTGGGAGGTTTGGGGGGAGGAGCCCTGCATACACACGGGGCCAGATAACAGAAGGATGGATGGAGAAAAAGGCACAGGACTGGGCAGCCGGGCGAGGCGGGGCCCAGGCCACTGGAGGCGGGAGGCAGCAAGGGCGGCGGGCTGTGGAGTGGTGATCCGAGTGGAAGAAGGTCTGGACGTCCAGGTGGCCTCGCCCCCCTCCCCTTCCCTCCCTTCTTCTCTTCCTTTCCCCTCCACGCTTCTCCCCTCCCTTTCTCCCTCTTCTCTAC